AGCTGAAGTGGTAATAAGCCGGCTGCATATCTTAAAGAACCGACAACCGATGGAAAAGAAATGTTTTAAAGTAGCAGCTTCGAACCGGTACATGAAGTGTAGGGCGGTCCTCTTATGAGACGACCTATTAAGAACTGTATGTCTAACGAGGTTGTCACTCCACGACTTGGCAAACAGGAAGTCGATGGATGCAGCTAGCTCATCATCATCATCATCATTACAGCCCTTCACAAGTCCACTGCTGAACATAGGCCTCCCCCAAGTAATGCCACAAAGCACGGTCCTGAGCCACCTGCATCCATCGAGTTCCTGCATGTCAGCAGCTAGCTCGGAACTGTATTTCCGAGCATTTCTTGGGGTAGGCCTATATTAAGCAATGGGCTTGAAAGGGTTGTAATGGCTGAATGGACCAAGAAAATACTTGTTTAATGGAAAATATTTAAAGATTGCATTTGTCAATGAAAGAAGTGTTTTATTTTACTCTCAATAGAAAGGAAAAGCGGCAGATAAGGTTTATAAAGGAAGTTAATAACTTGATTAATGAAAATCATGATTTAAAAGGGTAGTTAAAATAATTGGAAAAAGTAAGAAAAAAAACCAGATACACTGCAATAATTACAAATGCAAATATATTTTAAAATATTTGCATTTGCGTTGCAAGACGTATAAAGAAAAATCTTTATACAATTTGATGACGACTTAAAATTGTCGTGAATTGAAAAAAAATATTTGTAAAAGAAATTCTGCCAACCAACTTATCGATATATATACATATATATATATATATATATATATCTATATATATATATATAAATATATATATATATATATATATATATATATATATATATATAGATAAGCTTACGGAATAAAAATTTCTTAAAGGAAATGCCAATATTATTTATGATGTTGGTGGTCATGCAGGTGTGATTCATTTTTTCATTAAAGATATATTTCAGGAAAGAAGTTTTAGTTTTAAGTAAAATTTGAGTACCAACCTTCTTAATTTTGGAGAATGATTATTTAACAGTTTTATACTTAATGTTTATGTTCCTTAAGTAAATTTTTTGCCAAAAAACATCTTAATTTCGATAGAGAAGATGGCTGGGCGCTACCGTCTGCTTGGGATCCTATAAGTAATAAAATTAAATCCCAACCCAAGCATACAACTGCAAGACTTCAAGACTGTAAGTTAATACTGTGTAAATCGGAACAAAAATTAATAACTTTAATCTGTGGATAACCGTGGTTAACTATGACATCTGAACTAATCTGGACGTTAAATACCTCAGTCCCCCTCCCGTGACCATGGGTGCTGTAAAGTGCGCGAAACGTGAATGTAAAAAAGTTAATATACGCGATATTTTTTTGTAAAAACTAGTTTTATTTTAAAAGTTTTTCATCTTTAATGAATATTGTTCGTGTACCTTATATTTGCACTTTACATAACTGCGTGCAATAATATTGTATATTTGTAGGATAAAGACATATTAAGTACAATAAAGAATTTATATTTTCTGAATTGTAAGAAACTGTCATAATTGTATAGAATAATAAAGTATATGTTTGTCTTCTCATTGAAACGAACCCAAGAAAGTTAAACCAGAAAAATAAAGAAGAAGTACGGGTTGAACTTAAAATGGAATATCCCTAAACGATCTCATTGTGAGTTGGATTATTTTCATTAAAGGACGTTATTGTTACTGGAGGCGGATCTACGCAGAACGATCTCACTGTTTCTTGAAGTCTTAAAGTGGTATGCAGTGGTTTGGATTTAGCTTTATTAAAAAAAGTATTATGAGATCCCAAGCAGCTGTTACTCGTAGCATCCAGCCGCCTTCTCTATTGAAATTAGAATGACCCTTTCGAAACATCCTTGGTAGGAAACGGTGTTTTTTTGTGAGGATTGGTGGTCTATTAAATCTAGCGCAATTTTTGGAACGATCCTGAACATGCTGACATACTTTGAAGACTTTTAATGAAAATGTCTCTCCTATAAGCTAATCTATAAGAAAGACTTATGTTCAATAATGGATATATGACAGGCTCTGATGATGATGATGATGAAATGTTAAAAGTGTTATGCGTTGGATCTTATTAATTGGTTACAAATTAGTTATTAAATCGCCTTTGTTATTTTTGATATAGTTAGGCATTGGCCTACAAAGCTTAATGAAATGTAAAGTTAATAATTCAAAAGAAACAAAGGAAGGAAAGTACTTTATTAATTAAGCTGACAAGAACAACGAAAAAGATGCTTTCATTCTTTCTGTGAAACAATTAAGATGAATCTAACAGATTTTTCTAATTCGTGAATAGAATCTAACTTCACAAAACATTAAAATACTTATCTTTTTTTTAAATATTGCAAAAAAATGTCACCACAATGTCTGTTGTTGCAATTATTCAATATTAGCAATCATTCTCAGCTCTCAGATTTATTAATTCAATAACTATATCTTAACAATTTTTAAAAAAAAATCTAAGTTTTTAGGACGAAATATAACTAAGATCACTCATGGCATTGCTTTCTATATATTAACGAATTTTCATCACAATCGGTTCAGGCGGACAAAACTTTTACAAATTCATGTCTTTGAGGCAATTAGGCACAAGACACAATTAACCCCTGAGCTTGGAAAAAGGCATATATTTCGATATTACACATACATACTTTAATTTTATTTATATGTCTATTTACTTATTTGTTGTATGTTCTCCACTATTTAGTAGGCTTTTACAAATCTTTTTTTTATGCAATTAACAATGCGAATATTCCTTTTTAACCACTCCTGATAAGCTTAAAATGCTTGTGTTAGGAGTCATTCACGACAGTAGTCGTGTAGCGGATTTGAACGCATGACCTTTAAGTTCCCGGTCCGCACCCTGATATTAGGCTAATATCGCTGAACTTCTTCAAAGTAAAAAGCTGCACCATCGGTTCAACAAGTACTTACTCCGAAGAGACCTTGCGATTAGCAGCAAAAAGCTCACAAGTAGACTCTCCCAACAGTTACAATTTAACCTTAAAAATTAAAAAGTTCGTTATGTCCACGCATTCTTATCTTTAAATAACTACCTAATTTATAATCTTTACTCATGACAATGCTTTTTATACTGCGCTTTGAAAATCGGTAACAATTCAGTTGCGGTAGATGTGAAAGAAGGAAATGAATAAACTTTTTTTATTGCTCGAGGGTAGAAAATGTTAGTCTGAAGAGTAGAAAGTGCTAAGCCGTGTTAACATCCGGTGTGTCGTGCACCGTGTGTCGACTTACAGATATTCGTATGTAGGATGCTGGAAATGGGAAATGATGGAAAAACGTTTGCGTGATAGAGCCAAGCTGCAGCTATATTTTGTTTGTAACACGAATGAATTAGGGAAGGACCACGCTCTCACAGAATATCAGTGTGACATAGCTGCTCAATGCTGCCGTGTTTCGTGACAATGATGCATTCCATCTTAATCCTAAGAGGTGACAGCGCATCTGCATTTCGATTCTTAATCGAGGATAGATGTGGATGTCTATGGGCCACTGCATCCGCTCACCATCAGGTAAACTGTGTTTTTGTTTGTCATCCTTATTCTAAAAATAATCTTATAATTTCCGATAGAGGAATAGAGGTATAACCATATCGTTTACGCCAAACGAAAAGTAGTCAGACCGTAGACGGACAGCAGTATCAGTGATAAATGTCTGGTACTGCTTCAGTCTGTCAGCCTGTCAGGCATGATGATCATTTCGACCCTGCTTACTACTGGACAGTGACATGGCCAGCAGTGGATACGAGCTGATGACGATATGACTTAGATACCTTCAAAAAACGAGCTCACTCCTTTTTAAAAGGCCGGCAACGCACCTGCAATTCTCCTAGTGTTTCAGTTGTTCATGGGCGGCGGTCGACACTATCAGGTGAGCCGTACGCTCGTTTTCCCCCTCTTCTATAAAAAAAAAAACGAAGAAGAAGTAGCCGTAATGGTAACGTTCAGACTTCGCGTCGCCTCCGCTTTCGTAAGGGATATATTAAACCTATTAATTATTTATAATATTAATGAGCTTTTAAATATTTACTTATTCGTTCCGTCATCCGTCGTAGATTACTGAATATAAAGTAGAGAAATCCACTGCCGAACAAAGGCCTCCACCATAGATTATGTCATAATTTCGCAGTTTTTCATTGATTTAATATATCAAATCTTATTAGTTCACTGTAATTCTATTTCACTTTATGTTTTATTTATATATTTGATTTAGATTTATGACATAATGTAATAATTAAAGTGACAACGTGGTAAAAGACGCAAACATAAGATGAGATGAAGTGTAGGGTCCTCCAGTAGATGGAGTGAAAACCTGGCGAAACATGCAGTTAGTCGATGGTCGATGGATGTAGGTGGTTTAGCACCGTTCTTTGTGGTACTCCTTGGGAGAAACCTATGTTCAGAAGTGAACATGTGACAGACTGAAATGATGATGATGATGATTTGAAATAAAGATTAACAAAAATGTTTCTTAGTATTGCACGTTTATAATACTGTTTAACTCGCAAACAATTACTGTTACATGATAAACGACTATTTTATGGTCGAAATCACACCGTTTTTCATATACGTGACCTGGATGTGTCAGCGGATTTGAGAAATCAATAGCAATTTAATGGTAATCAACCCAAAAAGCCACACAACATCAAATTAGTTTATCGCAGCTAAAGTGCAGGGTGTGTTATTGTTTTGTTTAGAATAGTAGAATACCTACCGATTTTATAAAAGGTTAACACATTTACAAGTATCAAACATTGAAGGGTGGTTGAAGGTGGTGTAGGTTAATATTTAAAACGCTATATTCGAATTTCGATTTATTTTCTTTTAAATTGTTCAAAATATTCTAAAATATTTATTGAAGCTTTAAAAACAGTCTCACGAAATATTTCGTTACAATTATTGTTAAAATTTTGCGCGAATAAATCGATATTTTTTTACGATTTAAAACAGAACACACCTGGTATGTCTTCAGTCATGGTTATTCCGTTCGGATACTCGCTAGCCGCTTGCCATGACCACGGTCCACGCGGGCGGCCGCGGGGCGACAACTGACCGATACCCACGTGCCACCCTCGCCACCATTGTTATTTACATGGAAATAACTGCTCACCTAGAAAGGTCTTTTGGGAAAGTCTTTCATTTGAGACACATTTACTTAATTAAATGCGATTAAACTATTTTTTGTTGTCAGTTTTGATTAGCTTTACTTCGACTATAAGACACGTACTACTTAAAGTCAGTTTTATTAATAAAAAAAGATATATTTGTTAGATGCAGATATTTATTTACGGAAACCGAAAATGTATAAAGAAAAAAAAACTGTCAGTCGTATGACTGCACGTTAGAAGTGAAAACTTCGTAACTTCACAAAGTTGTAAACATCATTGTTAAGAAATACTTTTTAGAAAGTTTTTTTTATCAGGAACTATTTTTACCAACTATATATTAATAAATGAATTATTTTATCTATATAATACAAACAAATTTATAAATACATTTGTATATAATTACGTATCTGAGCGTGACGGTCACGTGAGTTCAGTGCTTTTTCCCCGCCCCAAAAGTGCCCAACGTGCCTCAAGAAGTTTTCTTAGTAGTATTGGATAGAATTTAAAATAAAACTTTAGGGATGATAGTTACATAAAGAAATAATCACTAAAAACTATCAAATAAATAACCTCTATTTGTTATTCTTTGCTTATAGTCTTAGAAACGAGTAGTTATTCAAGAGTGTATTTGTAATTTTTTGTAAAATATAATTATAGAGTTTTATACAAAATCCCACAGAAATCTAAATAATAAGACAAGTTGAGAAATCATGTACTAAACAGAACAGCCCTTTTCGCGTGAGTTTTTAGTTTAAAAAATTATATTCTCCACTGCTTGTTCGATATAACGTCAAAAGTGCGGGACGTCTCGAACTGTGATTGTCAATCCGTCAGCCAATCGTGAAGATTTTTTTTAATATAAGAGGAGGCAAACGAGCATGCAGCTTACCTAATAGTAAGTGACTAACGCCGCCCATAACAACTGCAACACTAGGGTAATTGCAGGTGCGTTACCGGCCTTTAAAAAAAAGATCCTACTCTTATCTTGAAGGTTCCTAAGTCGCGTCAGTCCGGAAAAATCGTTGGTGATAGTCAATTCCACAAGGAAATTGTGCGAGGAAGAAAACTCTTCTAAATTGCACAGTAGAGGAACGCCAATTATCTAGATGGTATGGTTGGTATCGCGAGTTTTGTGCGATGGTGAAATAATTAAGGTAAACCATCTCTACAGCATTGTACTTCAACAGGTTGATGATGAAGGAGAAGTAAAAAATTATATTCAACTATTATAATGAAAAAAGTTCATAAGATTTTTTACGTGGTAGAGCCATGCTGCAGTTTGCAGCCGGTTTGACCGGGGAAACCCACGTTCTTACAGAATACCATCGTAAAATAACAGTTTAATGTTGTTATTGATTAAAACTGCTTTTACGGATCTTATCGCGTTTAATTTATTTGATTTTTAATTCCCGACGTTTTGGGTGCTTTCACGGTCACGGGGGACTGAGGAGGAATTAAAAATAAAATAAATTAAACGCGATGAAATTAGAGATGGGCCGAATATTCGTTTCATATTCGGTATTCGGCAGCTTTACGACCAAATTACCGAACATTCGTTAAAGTGGTACTCAAGGTGTCCACTGTATTAAAATGATGATGTATGATTAATGCCATGTCCTTGATAACTTTACAATTGAAAGTATATTTTATTTATTGGTTAAATCTACTTGTATAGTTATGTTTTTGAGGCACTGTAGATTTATTTCAAATTATAGCAAATGGAAAGCTTGATAAAATGTTTTTTGAATCAAGCAAAGAAACATTACATTACATTTGTACACTTCACTTTGCTTTCTTTGTCCATTTCTCTAAAATAATTCCGAATAGTAGATCTCCTGCCATTCATTTTTATCATTTAATTATCAATTTTATGTTTTATAATAACGCAACGAAATACTTTTTTTTTCACAAAAATAGTCAAAACTTAAGCATGTGTCGGCAAATTGCTCAGTACTAGATGTTGCAATAACATATGAGGTGTGGCGGGGAAGCGAGAGGCAGGGTATGGCGCTAATCCAATGCGCTTTACAGTAGGAAGTTTCGATATAAATATGGTTAGGTACCGAGGTAATCCCGAATAATGTTCAGCCGAATATTCGGCGAAATCCATATTCGGCCCATCTCTGGATAAAATCAGTAAAAGTAGTTATAATTAATGTGTAGTGTTCGCGTAAATATAAGAAATCATTAGTGTTGTTATGTTTCGTATGGTGAGTGCAGAGAACTGGAGACCCTTAGTACTCGAAAGAAGGCATTCCATCTTAGTCCTCTGGTGTGACAACGCATCTACATTTTGATTCTTAATCGAGGATAGATGTGAATGTCTATTGGCCATAGACTGTGTGCTCGTTTGTCACCCTTTTACTATAAAAAACCTTAATTCAATAAATTATTTTCACATCAACTTTTTCTGCTATTTCCCTGGTATTCCATGAGTTTGCCTCTTCTTCCGGTCAGTACTCTATATCATGGCCACCTCTATACTAAACGCCAGCGCTGAAGGTTGAGCTAAATTATACTATGTTATGAACATTGCATGCGTAGATATTTTCTTGTAATTCTGAAAATCTTTTTCTATATACGCACTAATTAGCCGTTCTATGACGGTATAAAATCGCTAATTAGTGCGATTTCACAGTTGATACTTGTTATATATTTTTTTATTATTTAAGTGTCAATGATAGTACGTTAGGCAAGTCCGGAAGTTCCTGTGTATACGAATGCATGGCTATTGCGTGTTAGATCGACCCTGTACTTGCAACACTGCACCCGCACAAATTACTGTTGTTAGAATTATAAAACCTACGCGGCCGGCATTATCGATTATGCTCACAAGGAAATGGTGCTCCTATGCGATGTTAAAATCGATATAGATTTTTATGTTTTCATCGCTGTATTATTTTTTCTCCATTAATTAAAGAAATAGAAAAAGAAAGATGTAGTAACACTAAACTTTGATATAGTGTTAGGCTCCTAAAACCTAAAAGCGAATTCCTTTTTCTCTGGACCGTGAGTGGTGGTACATGCCCTGATTTATTTATTTATTTAAACTTTATTTGCACACACAAAAGAAATGTACAAAACGGCGGACTTAATGCCTAAAGGCATTCTCTACCAGTCTACCTTTGGTTTGTGCAGAGAATCTAGTGATGGGTGCAAAACTCATAATAAAAAAAAATTAAAGGTTTAAGGAAAAATACAAAATTATAATATAATGATAATAAATACAATACACATACATATACATTTACATTACTACTTACATGCATACAATAGTATTTTATACATATACACAAATACCCACAATAAATACATACACAATAAATAAATATGATATTTTTATATTATACATACTTGAGAATATAACAGTTTCCGAAGTTTTAAATTTTTTTATTATTATTCGAAACTACTACTGCTTCGTTAAGTAATAATCCCAGAGTAAACGTTTAAAGATAGGTTTAGTTTTTGCTTCTTTTATATTTCTGGGTAACATGTTCCAGAATCTTACTGCATTTGAAGTGAAAGAATTGTAAGAGAAGCCCGTGCGACAGACAGGAACATGAAGAGTTAGATTTTCCGCGGAACGGAGACATCGGTTGTGAGAATCGCCCTGATACTGAAATTTGCATTTCAGATATGCAAGGACAAACGGATCGTGTAAAATAGAGAATAGCATAGAAAGGATTCTAAAAGATCTACGAAGTGGAAGAGGCAGCCATTTGAGCTGAGAACGGAATGAAGAAACGTGATCGAATTTACGTAAGCCAAAAAGAAAGCCTAAAGCGAATACAATTATTGAGAAGACGATCCAGTTTGTTAAGAAGTTCTTGAGAGGCATCAGCATAGCATACATCTGCATAATCTAGTATTGGTAATACGAGCGTTTGAACCAACATTACCTTTGTTCTCACTGGAAGAAAATTCTTGAGTCTATACAGACAACGCAAGGTGTTGATAACTTTTTTGCTTACTTCCGTGACTTGCGGCCGCCAACTTAGACTGCTGTCAATGATAAATCCTAGATTTTTCACAATAGCTGATTAAGGTATGACAGCATTATTAAAATTTACAGGTGGCAGTGAATTAAAATCCAATGTAGATAAGCGACGGCTACTTCCAACTATAATTGCCTGACACTTGGTAGGGTTAACAGTAATACCGAATTTGCTAGACCAATCAGAGATACGAGTAAGGTCAGAGTTTAGCTCAGTGATCGCATCTTCGATATCGTTAACATCAGACTGAGCATATATTTGTAAGTCATCGGCATAGAGATGGCACGTGCAGCGAATGTGAGATGTAATGAGGTTTATAAAAATTGAAAACAAAAGAGGTGAGAGAATTCCGCCTTGAGGAACGCCAGCAACCAGCGTGCACCAGTCAGAAATAACTGGACCCACGCGAACAGCCTGCTGACGTCCCTGAAGATAGGATGCGAACCATTCCCGCGCTGATGAGGAGAAACCAATGTGAGAAAGTATTGTAAGAAGGATGTCATGATCAACAGCATTAAAAGCGTTTGAGAAATCTATTAAAACTAACACAGTTAATTTTGACTCCTCCATACCTATACGTAAATCTTCCGTAACTTTAAGCAGGGCTGTTGTTGTATTATATCCTGGCCTGAAACCTGATTGATAGCTACTTAAAAAGTTATTTTTTAAAAACGTAGTCAGAAATTTGTCTGTGAGCAACAGCTTCAAGTACTTTTTGATAAAAAAAGGAAGAATAGAGATAGGACGAAAGTGAGAAACAGAACGAGGATTATTTATTTTTGGAAGTGGGAGAACAAAAGCATTTCGCCATAGTGAAGGAAAAACCCCAGTATTTAATGAAAAATTTACTATGTGGGTAAGTACTGGTAAGACATAATCGAGGATGAGATTGATCATGATTCTGCTCACATCATCAGAGCCTACTGCGGCGGACTTGATGGAAGA